ATCACAAATTCAATTACCGTAATTTTCGGACTATAAGCCGCGCCTTTTTCCCCATTTTTCGACCCTGCGGCTTATATAACGGTGCGGCTAATCTATGGCCACTAGGGGACCTCCTAAATCTATGGATTTTACAGGTTACAGTCCAACACCTTTAACTCTATGGGCTCTATGGGCTCTATGGCCGGTCCGCGCCCCCCACCTTTAAGCGACGGACTCCAGCAGGAAAAGCTGGAGGCCGGAAAAGAGTGAGACAGGTAGCGCGCAAAAGTAAAAGTGGAACCGAGAGTGGTACGAGAGACAGAACGAGAGCAAGACAGACAGAAATTACGAGAGCGAGACAGTTTGTCCCCGTACCACTGGTTGAAAACCACTGCTGTAGATCACTGCCGGTACGTGCGCTGGGAGCGCACCGTTTAAGTTTGAAAGTTGAAAAGTGTGTGTGTCTGAAACGCTATGTGATACAGTACAGTTTACACAGCACAGTACATGTTCTGTAGCTACTATTGCACTAAATGGTAACACTTGAATACGTTATGCAAATACGCAACTTGTTTGTTGAAATGTTAATAAATGGGAGCTTCCTCAAACAGCCATCTCTTTCCCGACAATCCCCTCTGTGCACGAACCCTTACATATGGTAATTAAACATTAAAACACCTGCGGCTTATAGTCCAGTGCGGTTTATATATGTACACATCATTCAATTTAGCTGCTGCGGCTTATATTCAGGTGCGCCTTATAGTCCGAAAATTACGGTACTGCACTGATGACCGTCTATACATGTGGGAAAGCACATTCAGTTTCTTTCTTACTACATTGCTTGGAGAGAATGCGAAAATAATTTTAACTACAAGCATGATACCATTACTTTATAGTTATCCAGTAAATGTCAGCATTGGTTTCAGTCCAACTCATGACCCTCACATACACTCCCCATTTCTGCTATATCCTCCAATACATTAAACTGAGATGCACCAATAATGCAGAGTTAAGGCGTCATAAGACTATTTAATACTTCTATGACTGCATGGGGCCATCTATAAGATAAAAACCATCTTTGGCAGCAACAATAAGTGCCAAGAACTTTGTTGCTGTTATAGTGAGATAAATACTTTCAACAAATACCACCTTTTCTCAAAAACAAAAGCTTCTGCCATTCTTTTAGATTCAAACTAAAAAAAGCCATACTGTGTGTTCAAAGCGATAGCCTGCCATCTCAATTAGTCAAATAACATACAAGAAAAACTCATTTCTAGTTTTTAAATTCAGCTTCAATTCATGAATTAAATAAATGAACAGCTGTCACTTCACAACAATTATAAACTCATGGGTTGTATAATTTTTTTTATCTCGGGCTATCTATTGCAGTAGAAGAAAAAATAAAATAACATTTCCGAACGAGTTCAGGTGAGTTGCCGACATTGTCCCTGACAACGAGAACAATCAGTAAGAAGGGGTGCTGTAAACCTGTCAGTAGTATCTGTAGCACAGGGAGAGGGTCCCCTGCATCCAGCGAGGACTCAGTTCATTATGGAACTGTAGCAGCAACTTGCAAGTACAAGTTTTTATTTTGAATCACGCACCAAAAAAGTAGAAGCATGATTCGCTAAGGGGTGCAGAATTAACACTTTCTGCAGTAGGACTATCGCACAACACAATGTATTCTCTGAACCAATATATCCTGAAGACTTTCTGCAGATACAGAATGATACTGGGAAATGTCTTATATCATTCATACCTACTTTCAGCAACCAATGCTATAAATAAAAATAAAAAATGTAAACCCTGTTAAAAACTGTAACAAGTACTTTAGTGATTAGTTCAGTACAATCACTGAATGTTACTCATTTAAAAAAGTTAGTTTTAGCCCAGGAGAATTCTGGGAGCAAAATCCTTTCCAGTACGTTTACATTTCTTGATAAAAAAAACTTTTTCCAGAGCAACACCAAAGGACGGCCAAGCAATAGCAGGCAAGTTAAGCATGATGCCAAGCTACGGTAGTTACCAACTAACGAAGAGTAAAACAAGGGAGCATTGGGAGTAAACTCCTATCCAGTGGGTTCAGGACTACAGTTCTACCAACATTTGGTTATACAAAAGTGTCTGATTCTCACCCAAACTGTCTAGAGGGCAGCAGGTTGTTCTGCCACTTCTCCAGGTCCTTGAGCTGGAGATCAAAACGAGGACTGATCACTCCACACTGAAAAGATAAGAAACTCCAGTTAGTACTCCTAGAGATTAAATACTTTAGATGCACCATCTGTGAAAACTTGAGAATTCTCTTGGATGTTGCATTTACCACTTTCCAACCATAAAAAGCATCAACCTCACACACTAAAGTAATGAGATTTATAAAAGTAGATGCTTGAAAAAACTATGTCTGCAGGATAGTTACTAGAGGTTATTTGGAGGATGCTTGAAAAACTGCCACAGCGCAAAAAAAAAAAGCTAAGTTTGGTGTTTCTCTCATGTTAACGCGTCAGCAAGAATAGCCACTTCAAACAATTAGCATTTACCTTATAGAGTCTCAAAAGGAGAAGTATATTGATACTTCAGAGCTGGGTCTAAAATACTTTACCTTGTTCAGCCTGCCTGTGAGATTGACGACGATTTTCCCGGCTCTGTGGTCGTCAATGATCTCAAACTCGCCAATGTAACCTGGAGGCACAAATGACAAACAACAATAAGCAGAAGACTCGCGGAAGTTATCTTTTCGCCCCGATGAGCTTAATATTCTAAACTGATTGAAATATCAAGTTCAGCAGCAATTAATCTAGACAGACACTTTTAACAATCATATACTCTTTTGTAATGTGCAACTCTCTCCAGCTTAACAACAATTCAGTTATAGACCAGAGCAACAAGCTGCCACATGGCCAAATTATTAAGTCAGCATTTCATGACACCAAAACACTGTTCATTCATAGCAGAGAACTTAACAGCCACTCACCGTGCTTCATCATGACGGTTAGGAAGCGCACAATAACCTTGGAGCAAGGCCTGAGGAGGACCTGGCGTTTCCCACGTTTCTCAGCATTGTTGATGCATTTCAGAGCATCTGCGAGTACGTTCATGCGCACCATGATGCCTGTGGACACAAAGACCACAATTAAATGTTAAAGACTGACACAGATGAGCTTCAACCAACAGAAATGAGCTCTGCTTATTTCCCCATTATCCTGTGGGGCTGTTTTTCCCAGAGCCGTCATTCTCTCATACTTTGACTGATATACAAGTTTGGGCATAAACTCTCTTTTCTACAATTTAGAAATGATGGCACATGAGGTGGAGCCCCAAACGTTATGTCGAGTTAGCTACACCTTGCTAGCATCACTAATTTAACGACGCGTATCTGTAGCACCAACAAGTAATAGCAACATGGCTAACCATAGCAACTTACGTTACGAAAAAAATGATACTAACATGTTTTACTTGCATTAAGTTAAACGACACTTGAATAGTAAAACGCAGAATCCCAACACAGCATGGTCCTTCATGAGCACACGAAATGGCTACTTAGCCTAGCCGAATATATTTCAAATAGACAAGCAGAGCATCTCCCAACACTAGCACACATAATGGTCAACGCGATGTCAACCATGTACGGAATATTTTAAACACGAATATGTTTGTAAAGCTTACAGGTTTTGTGTTTGAAATTAAATAGACACGTATTTGGTCACAAAGCTAATAGTTATTAAGGCGCCCTGAACGCACCGATTTCCAGGCCGAGCAAAGGGGCTGCTCGATGAAATATATAGTCCAGATGTGTTTAACCTGTTCCACTAAACGAGGCGATAATCACCTCAAATCATTAATATGAGCTTTGGCTTCAAGATGATCGTATAAATGCAACATTTAACATTCTGATGCTTTAGATACTTAAAGGATTGGAGGTGACAGTGTAAAAAGCATCTTACCGGTTCTGCAATATGGCGGAAAGAGGAAGTCGGGAAAAACTGCAAGGCATTATGGGAGAAAATCCAAGACCTTTTAAATCGAGATGATACACACCAGTCCAGCACCAAATGATATATTCTTTGATAAGTAACGTGTTATACCTCCACTTTAAAATGACACTAAAGGTAATTTCGCATTTACTTATTTGTTCCGTAAAGTGGTTTGAATGTGACGTGATTACTTTTATTTAATAATTGTGTTTTTATTGCGTATAATTGAATACATATAAATCTAGAACCATTCATTGTGTCACTATTAAATACGGGCAGGATCTTTAGTAAATATGTTCGAACACGAACTGGTCTTTCTGTGATAACCATTGATAAAGAGTTAACACCTATTTTAGCATTGTTCCAATACCAAGAACGAACATCCAGCAAGACCTTTGTAGATTTGTAATTGATATTTAAATATGGAATCAGATGTAAATAGCCTACTTTACACCATTATAGCTAAAAATGTGGTGTCTGGTTTATTTTTTCTTTGCCCAAGAAAAGAATGTTGTATGTGAAATAATATGTTAAACTATTTTATAAAAGGATATTAAGAAACGTAATAATTGCATGCTTTATTTTATTTTGTACTGTGATATAGCCTCAAATTTGTCTTTTTTGTATGCTATTCACTGAAGCTGTGCTTTTGTTTACAGAAAAACAAAAAAAGAGTTAATTAATTTAAATAAAGTTTACATTTAAAGCAGTGCCACCTAGTGAGTAGGAAGAATCATTGCATGCGAGCATATCTATCCATTTTAATGGATTTCGCTTGGGCAAAACTGATAGGCTCATTTGATAGAAAACGAAAGTTAAACATTTAGCGGCAACTTTGTGCATACATAGCATTTTACAATTATACTCCAGTTGTATTTAGAGCCTATGAAGTTTAATGAAAGACGTGTTAATTCCCCACATTACATGCAATATAGTTTTAATCATGATAAACCACAAAGCCTTTGTCAAATTATTTATGCACACCCAATTTTGGGTGAAAATAGAGAATACATTAACATGAGATTTGGCAGCAATTAAAATTGGACACAATGAGTTACAAAAGACAATTTATTTGGATATGATCATTTTCTAAAAGCTTTGAAGATACTTTGCATATCTCATGGCACACTTAGAATACTTGAATCAAAGAATTCAAGGTCAAACATAAAATGCCAAGATGAAGGACCACTGACAACAACACAAGCTATGAAAAAACAGGTATTTTTCATCTTCTCAGTGCACCTTTACACATATCTTATGAATGCATTACATTCAATTAAGAGAATACACAAACAGAATTGGATAACCCCACGAGAGTGTTTTCCCTGATCTAAGAGACAATTCATTATCTTTATTCCCTGTTTTAACATAAACAACATGGCAATATTTGTTACCAGTGGGTACAATTCTTGTCAAATCCAAGTGATTACCAAAAAGTTATTACAGGTCCTAGATAAAAGTTAAAAATACAGTTACATTTACTTCTTTACATTGCTTGCAACACATGCATGATATTGTAAAAGAAGAATGAGTTTAAATGTTAACAACAATAAATGTTTTGCAATACAGAGTCTGTATTATGTCAATCTTATAGATTTTCCTGACCACTGAGTGGTGAATAACCACAGCGTTGACGTTGTTTTTTAGAGAGTTCTTCTCTAGTGGTAGGCAGTTTAATGCTGTTTTCAATTAATTGGCCTGCTCTCTAAATATTTTCATCAGCATCGGCCAATGAAAAACCCCTATTGGTCAACCAGTAGCAGACATAAAATGTGGATATATATATATTTAGCATAGTTAGCATAGCATCAAGAGCTAGAGACTAAGGCTACAGTAAGTCACAAAAATCAGAATGAGTTTCTTTGGAAGTGGGTTTGCAAAAAATAATGCGTGAGTACAGTTTTTTTGTGATTCTGAATTGTATAATATTTTCTATTTTCGTATTATATTTTAACAATCAGAATCAGAATACTGAAAGTGTGAAGAATTGCTATCGCATTGAAAGCAAGACTGAAAGAGAATAAATACATATTTCTTTCAAGCTGATCCTGACTATAGTATATGGTATGTAAATGTTTTTAATGAGTCCTGTCAAAGCAACACGGTTGTGTCTCTGACACTGTGTGAAAGCATTTATTAGATTAAAAAGTATTCAACTCTACTGCTGTGCTCTGAAGTTAGATTTTCATGTAGAGTGATGCAGTACGTCCGACCGTCTGCTAAAACTCAAAGCTACTCAACCACTACAACTGAAACGCCTCAGATTCAGGCCCAAAGCTCTTTCCTCTTGTGTCCAGTAGAGGGACAGCCAAACCACTCAGACTCAGTAACACATGAAGCATAATGGAATGCTGAGCAGCACAACGTAGTAACCAGATTTCTGTACTATTTCTATGGTTACATAAACATTTCAACACATTCTTTCTTCCATCAAGCCTTTGCTTGGCTTTCTCTTGAGCTGCGAATCACTCTATCACTTAGCCACCATTGCTGACCATGCTGGCCAGAGCATCTGCATCTCCCTGGGGATCTAGGCCCAGCCTCTGGAGGTCAAGTCCCATAGCAACCAGCATCTGGAACAGGGTGAGCTCCTGCTGGGTGGTCTGGTCCACCAAGGCTGGGCAGGTGGGGTTGCACTGAGGCCTCTGGCAGTTGTCAACCAGGTGGAATGGACAGCCTTTGGAAGGGGTTCTGTTGTTGCGGGTTGCCTCCAGACTCCTGTCCCAGCAGTGCAGGGCTCTTGGTAAAGAGGTGCCTTTAACTTTGAAACTCATCCAGTCGCTAGAAGAACAACAATACAATCAAATTAGGGATTCAAAATAAACCAAGGAAAATGTGGAAACAAAGTGTGGGGGAGAAGCTGTCGGAAAGCAATGAAATACAATGAATATAGATTGTGGCCGATAAGGTTAAAAACTGATGATCAGGAAAGTGTCATCAGAAACTTCATGGTCTGATGCAGGCTTTGCAAGTGCTTTAGCCACTTTTGGGGCATTATCTTGGTAATAAGAGTGTGTCAACCTCCAGTTCTGAAAAGTAAAGCTATTGGAAGTGCCTTAAACCTGCATTCTTGTCATAGCCAGCTCCACTGGATGCAAGAAAAGAAGTCTGATTGTATAGAAATCTATTAAACTTTTCACTTGAGGTTTCCCTCAGGAAAGGTGTTCCTAATATGTTTGTGGTCTCAATTCACTATATATATATAGTGATATAATATAATAATAATAATAATAATTTAATATATATATATATATTAAAATATCATAAAAAACTGAATAATGATCATTTTGTAAATTATGGTCACATTTAGACAAAATTAGACAAAATAGAATGGTATGATTTAGGTTGGCTATCATGTTATTGACAGGTAAATCCCACAGAGTTGGGTGTAATAAAAATAGTCCAAGCCTTAGACTAGAGTATAAGAAGTTGGCTTTTATATTTACTGTTAAGTATGTTTCGTTTTTTTTAACTTGTTGTTCTCGATAGCCATCCTAGTAAATATCTCAGTTAATGTAAAATACCAATGCACCCCGTCTAACCAAGCTAGCAAAATAGCTCTCGTTAGTTCTCCTGACTTTACGATTACTGTATTAACGTCCCCACTCGGTCTCACTTGTTACAACCTCCATCCTCTCGTCCAATCTATAATCCTTTTTGCTACTTAAAAACAAGATGGCGAGCGACAGCCAGTCGACAATATACAAATAGGTTATGTCAGAGTGACTACTTCCACTTCTTTTAACAATCTTTGGTTACATCACAGAATAGCAAATGCAAAGTTACCCACAATGACATTGGACCTTCAGCACCTCCCATAAAGAATCATCTCCCATAATAAATACCTGTAACTTAGCCCCACTGTAAACTGAGCTGAGGCTGAGGCAGACCCACCCATGTCCATCCATGTAACAAAATAATGAGTGTGTTCAAGGGGTACAGAGGGGTTAGAGAAAGTGTGAAATGGCATTTGGTGACATGAAGAATGTGGTGTGATGAACGAGCACACCAAAAAGCAGCATGAGCTCACTAGGTAGAGATGATTACTGGTGCAGACGTGAATAAAGTGTGAGGGGAAGGCGTTAAAGTGCTTTACCATCACAGAAGTCAAACATCCATTCTTACCTTTTGGTGATCGCTGTGTGGGAAAGGCAGGACGGAGCAAACACTGCCCTGAATAAAAAACACACAGAAGAATATTTGAACTACATGGTGCATATGAGAACAATTGTTATCGCGTTACTCTTCTAACAGCTTTTTGGGAACTTACGTGACCTCTCTAAGTGAGTTCTTAAGCTCCCTGCTTAAATTCTGTATGTACTGCCACTGCTCCTCTGACAGACTATGACCGCCCATGTAGATGTTTTCCACTCTCAGCTGCTCCTCATCAAACAGCCACTGCATCACAAACAGAGGGGCTACAGGGAAGACAAAAAGCTCATATTTAGATGCTCAATACATTTATATTAAGAATTGGTAAGATGATTATGTGCAATATGAAATAGGACACAAATAGTCCTGAACCTGTTGAGAATTATCACCCGACAGTTCCCTTTAGCTTCTTTATGCTTACTGTATTATTTCTATTGCCTGCAAAAGCTAGACCGAACCTATGTACACAAACTTCTCTGCACCTAATGGCAGACAGATCAAATTATTTAGCAAATCCTACAGGGTGAACATACTGTATCAAAGCATTTAACAGCTAGAGAGACCAATATATTTCTCAGTAGTTAGTCGGTAACAGAACAAAGCTAAATTGAATACATTTTGATATTACATGTACAAGGTGGCCCGAAATGATTTGTTTTTAGGCAACTGTTTGGAAACAAGTTCACCTCGAGACAAAGTGGCCAGAGGCTTTTAGTCTCTGAACGTTTCGAAAATCACTGGTGACACCACTGTAGAAGCTGAAGGAAAAGTTGTGTTTTTCCTGAGCTTCATAATGGGACAGACACTATTAAAACAAAGACTGAAAAGGGATGGACTTATATGGCAGTATAGATAGGCATTGACAAGTTAATTCATACAAAGTATGAGGTCAAGCATCCTCAAGTTAGTGGTCATGGTAGTTAAACAAGAATAAGTATATAGACGCTCCAATAGATAGATGATGGATGAGGCTCTCACAGGTCAAGGTTGAGTACAGTTTGTGGCCAAAGAAGCACTGCCACTCCTCTCCTCTCTTATAGAGCTGCAGACATCTGTCAGGCACAACCCCATTCCAAAGTCTGAGAAAAAAAACACAACACACTGTCAACGCACACACATATAGTGTTCTGATGCTAAAATACATTAAACAAAAAGGCAAACATAACAGCACTAGAGCCAACAGTATAACCAACGCTATATCATACAAAATCCCGTAGAACTTCATTCTCAATTTAGTTACGTTTACTTTTGCAATCTTTAACATAAAATCAGGACTACTGAGTGGAAGTTTAAGCTTCTATTATTAATCCATCAACCCCAATTTCCTCCCTCGAAATGTACACAGACTTTGATGACACAAACAAACCTAATCCAGGAGAAAATAGGTTTCCCTAGATACCTAAATGACTGTTTTCAAATACAAAAGTATTTCTTTCATTAAAAAATATGGTCTGACTGAAAAATGCATGACTTTACCGAAGTCCTATCTTGATAGCATCTTCAGGTGAGCAGGAGATAGTTTCTGGGCAGTTTGGTGATCTCTGCTGTTTACTTTCTAGAAACCATCCTGAGTCCACAAGGCCTCGGACCTGAGCCTCTGCACCGAGCAGCTCCAGCTGACTGGCCACCCTATCAATGTTCAGCAAAACACCTGTTCCACCAGCACTGCAGGGGAGCAAAGACAATAAATAAGTTTGGCTTTCAGAGTTGAATATTTGTTAGTGGTATCAAAACAACAGGGCATCCCAGCTTTTGGCATTCATACAGTGGATCCTGTTTTAATGCTCAAGGAAGTTCCAACAGCCATGGTGCTAACCTGGGAGGAATGTGGACCATTGCAGGGCAAGTCCCTTTAATAGGCATCATGTCATTGTCCACAGATGACTGTAAACATCTTTATTGTTGACAAGAGGATGCACCCAAAATAGAGCTTCTCTCGTTTAATGTTTAGATTGGAAATGATCCAGAGTGTACGGGGGAATGCACGCTCTCGTCCAAAAGGTGTAGTCAGTGTCAGAATGATAAAACAAACTCACCTCATGCCAGACAGCATGACAACCTTCGCCAGTTTGATTCCTTTGGTGATGAGGTCTTTGATGACCTCGCGGATAATCAGGGAACCCATGAAGGTGTACTCAGCTGACAACAAGAAAACATGTCAATTGATTCAGAGCACCTTACTAGTAAAAAAAGAACAACCTTAAAGAAACTTACTTGCATTTGTATTTCTATCTCTTTCCTTTTCTCTGCCTTGTCGCTGCCTTGGAGGAGGAGTTGGGGCAGGCCCATTGCCACTCCATACATCACTAGAACAGTACGGGATGAATCTAAAAATGGACACAATCACTAATGTCAACAGACTTGTATATATAGCTTAGACCTGTCAAAACTTGATAGAGAGTAGTCCCTGTCTGACAAACATTAAAAACATTTGATTTTTGTGTTTGCACGAACACCTGAAGGAGCCACGATGAGACATATAGTGAGCACAAACAAGTACTTACACAATGTTTGCATTATTCCAGTGTGGGTTTTCCTCTGCTTGAGAAGACAATATTCCAGTTCCTGTCAATCCAGTAATAAAAGATGAGACAGATTTCCTTTTTGTCTCAGTAAGATATCTTAAAACAAGCAACACCAAGTGCATTTTAAGAACTGTCTGGCTGACCTACCTCTTTTTGTTTGGGGCCACCCCGTTGAGCTCATTAGTCTGGGTATATTTTGGTACCTGGAATCACAGGTCTCTTTGCTGTGGCAGCACCAGCCACCTAAAAATAATAGAGACTAATATTAGACAGTATCATCAGGCACAGCATAGGAGACCCTTGTTAGCACATCACAGAGGCCCATGAGGAATGAAGAGGACTGCACCTGCAGCCTGGTCTACAAATGATATGCACTCAGAGTCCGACCAAGAAGACGATTGAATGACTTATAGTGCATAATTGAATGGTATCTGACTTGATTAATTTAGAAAAAACTATTTACTCTACTACTCGGAATAATACACTTAAAAATCTTGTAAAACAAAGTCCAAAATGTTTGTGTTTCGGAAATGTGATGCACATGTCTGCTATGCTCCCAGGATACACACATAAGTCCAACTGGGGACCAATCCACCTACATTCCCCCATTCCAAGTCTATCCAAGTGACAGGCAGCAACCAAAGAAGGAGAAAAACAGAAGATGACGGAACAAGATGACATCCCCATCAAAATTCCAATGGGGGCATCACGCCAAAACAAGCTGACCTTTGGGGACCAAGTTATCCAGTTGGGTTTTAAAATACTCACCTTCCAGAAATATCAGCCATCGGCGACTTCCTCTGAACTCCTTTAGGTAAAACCTGTACAACCACAAATAAACAGGAATGAGGGGATGGTGACGATAAAGCAGCCATGTATGGAAGGAGACCATGATGCTCTGTGCTTCTAAAATCAAGGTATTGCGACAGGCAAGCAAATGATAAAAACAGCTTACTTCCCTGCTAAGGATTTCAGGAAAACAAGTGAGAGATAAACATCCGGAACATCTCACCCAGCTGCGGATCCATCATTGCATGTAACTTGGGTGTTCTTGAGGAATTGCAATCTCATATCAGCTGTCTGTTGTCCAGCAGCTCGAACTCCTGCAACACCCTCACGTGTGGCTTCATCTGTGCCTCCAGTACTTCCTGCTCCTTTAGTGCTTACTGCAGTTCCAGTACTTCCAGTACCTCTAGTGCTTCCAGTACTTCCAGCTCCTTTAGTACTTACTGCACTTCCAGTACTTCCAGCACTTGCAGTACTTCCAGTACCTCTAGTGCTTCCAGCAGTTCCAGCAGTTCCAGTACCTCCACTGCCTCCAGTACCTCCACTGCCTCCAGTACTTCCACTGCCTCCAGTACTTCCAGTGCTTCCAGTACTCCCAGTGCCTCCAGTGCTTCCAGTGCCTCTAGTGCTACCAGGAGTCAGATTGACCACAGGGGGAGACTGACCAACATCACCTCCTTGGTTCCCACCAGACTTCTTGGGGGACTTACCACTAGGTTTAGCATTGTTGCGGTTGTTCTGACACCAGATTCCACCGATCAAAAGCAAGAACGCAACCTTGCCCAGTATATTCATATCTAAGGCAGAATAAGAAGAAAACACATACATGCAATGCATCACTCATACTCTGTCTTCAGAAGTATTTATCCTAACATAACAATCTTGCTTGGCATAGATATTTTTTGTTTTTTTAACTAATCATCCATAACTTGTTTTCTAATTTAAACCAATAACTTTTCAACGTAGGAATTTACTTACTTCTTTAAGAAGAATCAGCTTGGAGGACTGTTGCTGAAGCACTGCAGGGGTCAGGCAAATAACAAGTGCTGCTGATGAGAGAGTGAGAAGTTCAGAGCGCAGGTTTGAGAGGAGGATGCCAGGCAGGAGAAGTGATGAAGCCTTGACCAGGTTTTAATGAAGCCTGCAAATCAGCAGTGAGCTTTATAGTGCCACCATCAGATGTCCTCCCATTTTCCCTTGCTACTCCAGCCAGGCCCTGACATAATCGGCTGACGACACACCGTGAGGGGAGGTACCGGACGACCAGTGGCGAGGAGAAAAGATAACACACGTGTCTCTTCAACATATTTCATGTCTTTGCACACACCCACCACTTAGCCCTCTCCCATCAGACCATGGTTCAAGAACAAGCTCTCCTTCCCCCTATCGTCTCTCTTCTTCTCCCTCCCACCCTCCACCTCTTATTGCCAGTGTTTTGATTTAAACATTTACATGGTCAGCATAACTGCATGGCCCCTTTGCGTGGAATGTGACCCAGGGGTCATTGGAGCGCACACCTCAAACACTTCCCGACACGGGAATGAATAGTACCGTAAGCTTTTCGCATAGTAAACGATTTAGCATGCACTTTTATGGCACAGGTGGTGTACACTCTAGTTAGCTGTCGCAATGATCCCAAAACTTTGAAAATTATACATATAGTAATAATAACAGAAATGTGTTAAATAACAGTTTCTTCAAAACACAACACATACAGTAGCTATAGGAGTTTGATAAAACATAACATTAAAACAAATGTAATGATTATTTCCAATGAAATGTTTTGGTTTATGAACATTCATAAATAAAAAAACATGCATTTATATATTTTAATTCACAGGGCAATATTTTTTGTTTTGCCCCTATAGACCCCAGGGTACATACAGAGCAGAGTGTTAAGTATGTTGTTCTGACAACAAGATAAACCAATGAAGGACAGAACCAGAAGATGAAGGATCCACCTATAACAGTTGATATTATACTTCAATGGTACCCATTGTATTAATGATACGTATTCAACTTTTGTTATATCTTCTTGGGCCCTGGGAAGTTCCCCGCTTTGCTTTTTTGTAGATCCAGCCTTGTGCCCCTAGGATGGCTGTATAGGTTGACGTACCGCTGATCGCTAAAGGATCACGAGGCCAAGGGCTCTAAAATTCTCAAGAATGAAATGCACACCATCCTGACGTGTCAATCACATCAAATAATGATTGCTTGGAAGGCCAGAGGCTACACCGGGCTGCTGGGGCTTTAAGTATTGCAGGGTGGCAAGGAGGTGTGACAATGTGTTTTAAACATTAAAACAGAAATAATCCACTACAATTAAAGCAATTCTTTTTGACATCTCCCTAAGGGTACTGGACACAGTGACACACTGCACGATCAACCTTGTAACAGGTGAAGGGCTGTACAATGATTTCAATAGGCACATACAGTATAAAAATATTCTGATTAGGTAAAAGTTGTACCATAGAATGACTATCAGAATATCTGTATTTAGTGGATGTGTTGAAGATTATTTATCTCTGGCAAAAGAAAATCATTATCATACAGCATTTTGTTTGCAATAATGACCTAACCATTTAAAGACTTACTGTAAGGCAGAGGAATTTATCAAAGTTTCTCTCATTGCTTTGGTATTTTTGTATCATTTTCAAGCATTTCTTTGCCACTTTCAACTATCGCCAGACAGAAAACAAAGCTACTCAAAAATATGTCTGTGAGATTGTATGCACCTACGTGCAATAAAAATGTACCCTAAGGTCATCACTATACTGAATTTGATCTACCGAGCTGAACAATTCTTCATTCCTTCAGTTGTCTTGAAGCATGCACACCACCATCTGTCTTCCCAGAAATCAATGCAACAATGTGTTTAACAGATACCTCAAATAGCTTAAAAGCAAAAGAAGATGCTGTAAATCTATCATCATTGCGCTAGAATGTCACGATCAGAGAGATGGCATTGCTGCTATTTTGTTTTTCTTTGATATGGGATTGGACAGAATGATACCTTTTTCACAGAGGGCTTCAGATCAATGGATATAAGTGAATTTGTGTGGTAATACTGCGGTGATTCAACTCCCACAACATTACATGCATGTCTTTATCTTTAACTTAAGGCTTAGGTTACATAAACTGTGAGGGGCTCATGAAGCATGTTGAACTTCACCCATACAGGAGCAACAGCTTGACTCCTTGAGCAGCATAGTAGGCATTCCTTTACCTCTTGTGTTGTTATTTTTCACAGCCAACCTCCAAGGTCAGGACACCTAAAGCCCGGGTGGTCCGAGCACTTTGTCTCCTGAGCATTTGTGTCATCACTGGCCTCAAAAGCTGAGTGCTGGGCATTGAGTTGGCTTATTTGTCGGCTGATGGCTTCAAAGAACAACGAACCAGACACAGGCAGTCATGTGCTGGATTCTTATGATCACACTACTGAATAGAAATGTGGCCTCTCACAGACAAAACTCCAAAACACCATGACCTCTTATTCAAACAATGAAGAGGTTAAATCCACATGTTTTAAGACTTTTTAAAACACTTATTTGTTGCTAAAGTTAAAACCTTTTATAAAGTTGTGATGCATACCACCATCATGCTTTGCAGAGTCCCCTGCCATGTTGCGTGTAATTTGACAATCTGCAACAACCATCACCCTGAATCTATGTTGTCACCAGCAGTGGAGAGCATAGCTCGGCAAAGAGGCCCATGATTAATAGCAGATAAAGGTGGCATCTTTACAAGCCACATGAAAACGAGCCTCAGGCGAGAGAGCTGATGCCTGGTATAGGAGAAACACTGCCAGAGCTTTCCATTCAATCAGAGAGGACGACAGCCTGCGTCTTAGCGGGATCGGTGTAAAGTGCCGCGCCACTGCAGGAGGCTAGCAGGTGGGCTGAGCAAAACTATCCCTAATACCAGGTGTTAAGAGGCCTTGCGTGGTAACCTTCTGCTGACTGCCAATGTATCGGTGTGATTAATGGAGGAGGGGTCGATGGCAGGGATACAAGGTGTTGGTTTCTGGAGAGGTTGGGGGTGATGTAACAGGCATAGAAAAGGATAGCTGACGTGAATATTTTAAATGTGCTGCGAGAGGCTCCTTCTCCTGAACCCCTCATTGCCGATGCTTATTGGCCTTCCAGAAGGACCTTCATCCAAAATATGTTCCTCCTCAAGTAGGATCACAATCCATAACAGTCAACATGACCATATATAAATCAAGCACCCAGTGTAACATTTAATTCTTGAAGAAAACTTCACGGTAAACAAAGAATCGTAAAACAGATAAACGTGTTAATGAATTAGAGGAAATGGGGGCTGAATTTAACAATAGCTAAACTTTATTAAACCATCAGTTTTATCCAGACATGTGCTCACTGCTTAGTGAGAATGCATTGGTCAAATGAGAGTGGGATTGTACTGCACGAGTTTGTAAGAGTTTGTATGGGATGACTTCATATCGTTTTGGTGTTGTTAAAAGCAGCCCCTATTTACTTCAATTCATTAAAACTTCACCATGGATTCATGAAGAAAAAACTAAACGTTTTATTCAAGAATTCAATGTTACGTGAGGTGAGCAATTGATATGCAAATGTACAACTTGTATGTAAAGTATTCCTTCAATACTGTTCTCTTGTCAAACTGGGGCATTGGTTTGGAAGGGGGTGGGGTGGCTGCATACTATCCTTAAGTTAACAGCTTGCCTTTGGGGCTCATGACACAGTAGTGCAGCTACGTGGCCTTGGAGTCATGCTGGATGAACCACCAGGCCTGTCAGTTCAATGATGAATACTAGCGGTAGGGTCACACAATGCTAAGCTCCCGCACTTGACAATAGGTCCTTTACATAAATCTTCACACCTGATCAACAATACGATTATCACACGACATGGAGTGTAAACAGCTGCACAAGAGAAGATACAGACAAATGTCACCTTGATGTCTATGCTGTTGTCCATTTGATATCAGTGTTTCATTGAATTTACAACACTTTGAGCTAATGCTAAATGCTAATACGTTATCAATGACAATGCTTATAAACTAAGGCCACGTTTACACAGAGACGAAATGGGTTGTATCCGCTACAGTTCTCTATCGTATGGACGGTTCGTCCACACGAGGCTGTAACGGAACCGCGGAAACGGAGCCCTAAAAAACGGTAACGGGTCCCAAGGTGGGTAGATCTGCGGACGAAACGCTCTGGGGGGGCAAACGGCTCCGTGTGTACGTCCTATACGATCATTTCCTGATAACGATGAAGCCATAGCCATGTAGCATGGTCAGTAGCTACTGCTACCATAGCCGTGGGAACATGTGGGGGTGCTGTGGGGATGACACCAGGGCCGGTTTTGACCAATTTGGCCCTAGGCAAGATTTTAGCTGGCAATGAAAAACCTCTACAAAAGACCAATACACTACAAACAGAGAAACGTATTGATATGGTGGACAGCTTATATAAAAAGGCTTCAAATTTATTTAGTATTGCATGAACATGTTTTGATTGGGGGGTGGAGGTCACATCCTCTAAGGGGGATCCGGGGCTACCCCCACGGGAAGATTTTTTTTTACATGTTAAAGTAAAATGCTTCAATCTGGTACACTTTGAGTGCCCAAACTAGAGACTGATCTAGGGGATACAACTCTAAAACACCCATATGAAAAAGATTGGTTTGCATTTTAGTATTCAAATAAGTATGTGAACATATCCAATAACCTACCATAGCCAATAACAAATAAATGTATGCTAACTTGTTTTATTTTTGTGGTTCATTTATATCTTATTTTATCAGTTAACATTTATTTATTTATGCATATTTTTAAATATCTCCAGTTTTAAACAATATTTTTGGTTTACTGTCCTATAGTATACATTAGAATGATTTGAAACCTGTTTTTATTTAACCTAATAATTATAAAGGAGTGCCTTGGAAATATTTGTTTACATAAATTGTGATCAAAACGTTTGAGACCCACTGAGATAATTTAGACTAAAGTGAACTATCTAAACACTCAGTCCTTTACCTCACTGAGCCTCTCAGTCTGACAGGAGAGCTCTCCCTCCACATTATTGTAGAAACAGCTTCTTATATCCGTTAGCGCAGCAGAAGCTAACAACATTCCCCGCCGGTACCGGTGCA